GATGCTACAGAAAAGATCCCCTGGATTGTGCAAAAGGCTAATACACCTAGGCGGTTTCAGAGGAAGACAAGGGACAGAAGCCAGATGGCCAAGGGGTAAAGGGAGGAGAGACAGGAAGAGACAGAGACTGAAGCAGAGCTGCGAAGGGAAGACAGGTGCAAGAACTGGGGCAGGAGGGGGAATACAGTTTTCAGGAAGGTGTGGTGAGAAGGAGGATAACGGAAGGAGAGAGATTAAGGGAGGGAGGTCTCACATGGATCGTGAGCCCAGAGGGGTGTGGAGAAGGCAGGTGGTGCAGAGGGAATGCACCTCTCACAAACGGTCTGCAGAAAGCAGGAAGCACGTAGGGGGAAATGGATGTACAGGGAATTTGAGGTTATTTATTGGGAGGGGGGATAAGAGATGACCCTGAATTGTACACTTAAAAATGGTTAAAATGGTAAATTTTATGTTATGTATCTTTTACCAGAATAAAAAAAGAATGTAATGCTGATACATGCTACAACATGATTGAATCTTAGAAACAATGCCAAGTGAAAAAAGCCAGTCACACATGACCAGGTATTACATTATTCTCTTTAGAAAGTGGCATTTCCCTTAATACCAAGAGATGGTATGTGGATGAAGCTCTTTCCCTCTGTTCCAAGCACTTTCTCAGAAGAATGACCTTAAGATTAGCATCATTTTGCTCTCTTCTATCTTTAAGGATCTATTAAAAGTTAGCCAGGTGTGGTGGCTCATGCCTGTAGTCCCAGCTACTGGGGAGACTGAGGCAGGAGGGTTGCTTGAGCCCAGGAGTTCTGGGCTGCAGTGCGCTATGCCGATAGGGTGTCTGTGATTAGTTTGGCATTAATAATGGTGACCTCCCTGGAGCGGAGGTGGCAGGGGCTGGGGGTGGGTTGGGGGATACTAGGTTGCCTAAGGAGGGGTGAACCAGCCCAGGTTGGAAAAATTGTGTTGGTTCTCTGTTATCCTGTAGAGACAACCCAAAGTGAGGGGAGTTATTATGATTTAGATACAGGGTCAGCAAACTCTGGCTCACAGCCTTTTTTTGGTAGAGGCTAAGGATGGTTTTAACACATGAACATTTGCAATCAATCTGATGATAAGAGACACTAACTTTGAAGTCCAATTAAGCAAAATCTAATCCCTCTCCCAATTCAATTTTTAAAAAATTAGTGGCCCTGTATTACCAAAATATTATACTCAATTATTATTATAATGTTATAAATTTCATCAATATAAATTTGTGGAAATTTGTTTTCTCTAATTCTGTATGTACCTATACGATGTCCGTGATTTTGCCTCTTGGCTCACAAAGCCTAAAATATTCACTATCTGACCCTCCATAAGAAATGTTTGTGGACCTCAGTCCTAGACTCCAGAGAGATACTGGAAATAAATATTGTAAAGAAAAGCACTATGTGAAGATGGAGTAAGCCATAAGCTACAACTATCTCTCAAAAATAACATAGCCTGGAAACGACAGAAATTTCAACCAAATTATCCAGGTCAAGAAATGATCTTGATATATTCTGCTGATTTATTTTAGAGAAATTAAGGTAGGGAGGAAAAAACCCTATTCATATCAGCTGTAATAGAAATGAAAAAGATATAAAATGAATAGGAAAATCTTCAAGTATTTTTTGACTTGATGACAATGATAAAATAATCATATAAAAGGAAGGACATTGATTGATCACTTACATATTTTTAATTTTTTAATCCTCGCCTGAGGATATGTTTATTGATTTTTAGAAAGAGGGATGAAAAGAGAGAGAATAAAACATTGATGTGAGGGAGAACCATTGATCCTGCACTCACCCTGACGGGGGATGAAACCCATGACCTACGAATGTGCCCTGACTGGGGGTCGGGGTGGGGGGGAGGAAGCAAACCCGCCACCTTTTGGTGTGTGGGAAAACACTCCAACCCACTGGGCGACCCAGCCAGGGCAAACACTTACGTATTAAAGAACTGAATGGGCACTTTATACAAATGATCTCATGTAAACCTTACAACCTTGCAAGCAAGGTTGAAGCCAGGGTCATCCCCTGACACCATAAAAAGTAATATTTTGTCTGGAAAAAAAAGAGAAGCAGTTGCAGACTAGACAGTGAAGGGAAATGTAGTCTTGAGAAATAACCCATGTTCTGTTTCTTTTTACCCCATTATTAGGTAGACTGGGAGGACCTGAAGGCTTTCCAGAAGGGGTGTGTGGTGGTCAGTTCTGTGTTTTGGGAAGATAACAAGAATGGCTGTGGGAGATAATTCTTGAGGCCAAGAGTCCAGAGAGGAGCTTTTTCAACAATCCAAGGGAGAGAAAGTAAGAGTCTGTGACAGTGAATGTGAAGAAGAGAACTTCAGGCACACTTCCCTGCTCCAGTTGGTCATAGGTGACAGACTGGACATGGAGGCTGGGGGACAAGCAGTCAAAGTCGACTTCAAAAGTTTCTGGTGGCAAAATGAGAGAATCCAGATAAGAAACAAGCCTGTAGGAGGAGAATAATGAGTTGAGTAGTGGAGATGACGTACTGAAAATTCTTGGATACTATCCAGAGGAGTTTGCCTAGAGGACAATTGGGAATGTGTGTCTAGAAGTTCAGAGAGAGATTTGGGAACCACAAGAAAATGGCTAACCTTCAGAGGAGGTTTGAGAAGGATAGAGGAGGAGAAAAGATGGAAAGAAAGGAGATAAGGAAAACTAACATTTCTAAAGGTGAGCACAGGCAACTCACACCTCTGAGAGGAAAGCGGGAGAAGTGTAGGACAGTAAGCAAGACCCAGTGATGTCACTAGGAAAGAGTTTCAAGAAGGAAGGAGGAGTTGCCCTGACCAATGTGGCTCAGTTTGTTGTACATCTTCCTGAAAAGTGAAAAGTTGCAGGTTCAATTACCAGTCAGAGCATATGCCTGGGTTTCAGGTTTGGTCCCCTGTCAGGGTGCGTATGAGAAGCAATTGATCAATGTTTTTCTCTCACATTGATGTTTCTCTCCCTCTCTCCCTCCTTCCTCTTTCTCAAAATAAATTTTAAAAATAAAAAAAAAAGGAAGGAGAAGTCAATGGAATGTTACAGAGCCATCAAAGAAGAAAAGGACCTTAAACAGGCAATTGGATTCGGCAGTTAGAAGGTCACTATTGACGTCTGAGAGCGCAGGGAGTAACGGAGAGGAGGGTGAAGGAAAAGAGGCATGAAGGCCAAATGCTGGGACCTGGGACAATGGAATTTGTTTGTTTGGTTGGTTGGTTAGAGAAAGTCTCTAATACCTGTGGAGGGAGAAGGAGACACTGAAGACTGAAGATGCAACAGTTAGCTCCCAACTTCTACTTGGCTGAGCAGGCACATAGCACTAAAAAAAAAAAAAAAAAAAAAAAAAAAAAAGTTTGGCTGGAAATCCCTCAGTGCTGTAGCAGCATGGTGGGGATGTTAGTTGTTGTACAGGGCAGTGTGAATTTTTCTCTAGGTGCCAGTCCCAGAATCTTCATCTCTTACAGTGTCCATTTTCGATGGGGACCAAAACACCTGGCTTTCCAGTGTGTATTGAATTTTACCAGCCAACTCTTACATATATATTTTAAAAGATTTTATTAATTTATTTTTAGAGAGCTGGGAAAGGAGGGAGAAAGAGAAGGAGAGAAACATTTAATGCAAGACAAACATCGATTGGTTGCCTCTTGCATGTGCCCGGACGGGGAGTCCCACCAGCGACGTTTTGGTTTGCAGGATGATGCCCAACCCACTGAGCCACACCAGTGAGGGCAAGCCGACTCATATTTTACTAATACACGTCATTAGAAACGTAAATGGGATGACGTATTATTGATTCTCAAAGACACAGACCTACACTTCCCTATTTTATAAAATTCCCACTGTTGCCGGTCACATAAACACTGAGATGTGTGATATCTGTAACATGAAGTCCCTCAGGCTGTAAAACTGGCAGGAAACTCTGATGATAAAATCTGCTCCTCCCCATGTGAGGTCAGACACCGTCTACATCCTTTGGCTCTCTCAAGAGTTGCTCGGGAACTAGTCAGTTATGATTGGGTTGCAATAGCAACCACACAGTGGTTTCAAGATGGAAGGTGCTATGACAGTGCTAATTATTAGTGTTTTTTGGAGGATGCGCGCTATGTATTTAGACAGTGTCCTACAGTGGCTTGCTGAGTGTGATCCCCAGAGAGCCACAGCATTTGCATCATCTGGGAATGCAAATTTTGGAGCTTCGTTCCAGACCTCCGCATCAGCAGACCTGGGGGGTGGGCCCAGTCGTCTGCATCTTAATAAAACACTCTAGGTGAGGCTAGGCTGCGCTAAAGGTCCAGGGCGCCGGTTATCGCCGCAGCCTTTCCGCTCAGCGGCATCACTTGGGGTATTTTAGAAACGCAGCATCTCCGACTGCAGAGCCAGCACCGAATTAGAACCTGCATTTAAGCACGATCCCCAGGGCATTCTAGTATGAGACCCCCTCGGTCTATATGACCGTGTCGGCGTAATGTAACGAGGACCTCTTCGCCTGTAAGCTAAAAAACCTGGCGGCTTAACTAGAGAAAAGGTGAAATTTTCTTAAAATATCCAACCCACTAACCCCAATGCCCCGCAAACTGCTTGATCTTCACCGAGCGCTGACAGAGCTCCCTGTGAAGCAGGGTAAAAAGGGGACACCAGGAGGGGGAGACTTCGAGAGAGCGCTCTGCATTCCAGGTGGGTCCCCAGGAGCAGGTGTGACGGTAAGGGACGAAAAGGGGGCATAGTTCCCACTCAGGGGAGGGAAATAAAAGGAAAGTGGGGGCGCGCAGAGAGCCCGGCGGGAGGTGGTGGGGGCGAGAGATCCGGGATGCCTGGTGGCGCGTTCCATGCTGAAGGGGCAGCCTCTCCCTTCGCGGGGGAGGCCGGAGGGCTGGGGTCCTGGGCGGGGAGGGAGGTGGGCCCCAGGCCGGCGCGGGGGCGGGCGGCCTCGCGGCTCCCCGCCCCCGGCCCGCCCCTCCGCGGCGCCATTTTGCAGGCGGCTGTCGCGGGGACTAGAGGCAGAAACGGCGGCGTCGGCAGCGGGCACTGCGTTGCGGAGGCGCGGCGGCAGGACGCGAGCCCAGCGAGCTGCAGCCAGGTGAGAGCAGGGCCGCCGCGCCCCTCACCCAACCCGCAGGGCTGCGCTTGCCCGGCTGGACCGCGAGGTCCCCGCTGAGTCCACGAGGCCGGCCTGGCACGGCCCCCGCGGGCTGTCACCAGCCCCCGGCGCGGCCTGCGCGCCCCAAACCCGGCCCGTCGCCGTGGGGCCCGTGGATGCCTGGCGACCTCTAGTCCCCGCCGGGCCTGGCCGGGGCCCTGGACGCTTACCGCTACCCGCCGCGAGCCCCACAGCGCGCTGTGGCCCTCAGGCCGCGCCGCGGGGAGGCAAGTGGGGTCCCCCCGGGACTAGGTTTGCCACCGCCGCCGCCTCCGCCCCGGCCCTCGGCCCGCGTGACCTGGGGTCGTATTCCGCTCGCTCCTCCGCAGGAGGTGCGTGAGGGCACCACGGCCCCCTCCTGCCCCCGGAATTCAGGGCCATCAAGAGGAGCGGCGAACGGCGGGGGTTGGAGGGTGCCGCCTTTTTCATTTTTGCTTTCTTCTCTTCTACAAAGGCTGCGCCAAGTAATTTTAGAAGCAGCTGCTCCGACCCCAGGCCCTTTCCCTATGGCTTGTACCCCGGGGGTCACCGGTTCCCCTTGTTGCCACCGTGCTGGGAATAGAAACTGACATTTTCGAGTGTGGCTAGTTTAGGGCGCAGAATTTTCTCCTTCCTTTGACTTTATATGCCCCCTTGGATGGATAGCTGACAGGAACTGGGCCTGCAGGGGGTTTTAAGCATGACTGATATGAAATTCTTGATTATCGGGGCAAAGGGTAAATGAGGGCAGCTGCAGGTTGAAGAAAGTCACTCGTAAGGGATTTCTGGGTTCCGTGGCGTTAGCAGTAGCTGCTGCTTGTATTCTGGCAGTGCTGGGAGACAGGAAGTGAAGATGCTGTCTCTGCTGACATTTGGGTCATCCAGCGCAGAGAAGGCCGAGGATGTGCGAGGAGTGGGACCGGGAGTCCCGAGACAGTGTGGTTTGAGCTGTCATTAGTTGGCCATGTGACCTCCCTCCGCCAGTTTCTTCCTCTTTAAAGCCGCAGGCTGGAACCTGGAGTGTCTGGAGCATTTTTATTTTGTTTTTGCATTTGAATGCTGTTAGGCAGGGGGCCTCACCATTTCCAGTTGTCTGCACCTGCCCTTCACCTTCTCTCTTGACTTTCCGTGCCTGGCTCCTTGAAGGTGTTTGATTCTGGTGAGATTTATAAAGGGCTTTTCAGCTCCGAATTCCTGTATTGGGTTATGGTAGACTCTATCAGGGTCACTTGTGAACCTATCACGACCGGTCTCTTTTAACTTCAAAACTTAATAGCTTTTGGGCACTGACCTGTTAAAAGGCCGGCAGTGGACTTGCACAGTGTAAGCCCTCAAGGCACACCCGCTAGTTAAAAGGAGGCAAGTGGGTGTGCCCAGCACATTACCTCTTTCACTGGGCAGCCTGCGCGTGAGCTGTCTGCTTTGTAGACTGTTTCCTTTGCCAAGATGGTTTCTTTTCTTTGAATACTAGAGCAGTTTTCTTTTGGTTTCTTTGCTTGGATTGGGGAGTGATTTTTTTTCTTTTTTTAAAGAAATTAGGTATTTCAAGAAGTTTTCATATTGACAACTTTTTTTATTTTAGATGGTTCAGTGGCAGGTGTATTTTCTGACTGTGACACAGGTAATTAAGCTGAGGTTTAATGTCTGTTAAGGTGTTTCAAAAATGCTCAGGAAAGTAGCTGTCTGGAATACTGGAGAGGGTTTTGCCAGGTGTCATGCTTCGCTCCCTAGCCTGTTTGTGTGGCAAAGTCTAGTGGACTTAGCATTGCAGAAATGAATTAGGTGGCCCAGGAGTAAGCTCATGTAGCCTTCCGTCAGTCTGTACACTAATTTGGTGCCGGGTGCTGTTGATCAAATCATTGTTGATAAAACCCAGTCTTTTTTTTTTCCCTTAAGATTTTATTTATTTATTTTTAGAGAGAGGGAAAAGGAGGGAGAAAGAGGAAAAGAAACATCGATATGCGAGAGATAATTGGTTGCCTCTCACAAGCCTCCAACTGGGGACCAGGCCAGCAACCCAGGCATGTGCTCTGATTGGGAATCAAAGCAGCGACCTTTTGGTTCTCAGGCCAGTGCTCAATCCACTGAGCCACAGCAGCCAGGGCAAAATCCATCCTTTTGGCCTCAAGGAGCCTAAGGTCTAGTCTGTTGGATTTTGGAAATTCTGAGTTGGCTATTGCCATCTTCTTCAGTGTCTCTAAAGACAAACCTGGGAACCATGCAGCACTGGTAGCTTAAGGAATTTTCCAGCTTTGGTTAAGGGAATTAAAAGTCAGCAGTTATAATTTGCAGTTATATAGTGTTTTATACTTGTTAATGAAAGCTTTTTAAAAACGTATATTTACTTAATCCTTTTCAGCTTTTTAAAATGGAAACATTTTACAATTCTTTCTTGACCTGTTTCCAGGCCTTGCCTGTAAAACTCCCAACACGCTAATCCCAAAGCCGGATAACCTCATTAATTCATTTTCACTCCCCGCTGTTCTTCCAGTTATTCTCTCTCCTCCAAGGGCTACATGTCTGGGCTTTCTTTCATTCTTTTGCTAGGGAACATTCCTTCTCCAGGGTAAGCTGTACATTGCCACCATGGGTTTTAAACAAGTCCTTCATGTGCTTTATGGCAGTCTCTTCATTTTCTCCCTGGCTTTGCGATTTCCAGCCTGTTGTTTCGTCACAGGTTCTAGATTGTTGGCTCTCCAGTAATTAAGGTCTGCTTCCAGCTTATACTTTTCATAGGCCTTTCACACATTCAGTGCATTTAATGAGACGCTGCTGTGTGACTGGCAGTGTTTTTGGTGCTCGGATGTGCATGGAGACTCCCTGCCCACATAGAGCTCACACACTGATGGGGAGGCAGACAATAAGACTTTGTGTTCTGAAGTAGACTCTGGCAGCATTGGTGGTATTAAGTGTTGGGATGGGAGCTGAACTTTTAGGAATGGTTAGGCGGGGAAGGCCTGAGTCATTGTGGAGGAAGTGAGTTCCCTGTTAGGAAACAAGCAAATGCAAAAGCCCTGAGGCAGGAGGAAGACAGCATTTATTTTGGAGGTCAGAGACAATGGGAGTTGGGTCATGCGAGGCCATGTGGCACATGGTAAAGGCCTGTGGATTTTACTTTGAGAGGGGGGTGGGGGCCATTGGAGGGTTTTGAGTTAGAGGAAGGAGGTGGACTGATTTAGCTTTTATCAGGGACATGCTGATTGTTGCTGTGTGAGAACAGACTGAAGGCAGGGAGGGCAGGGTAGGTAGCAAGACTGCCAGCTAGTGCTGGGCTGAGGGTGGCGAGTCAGACTGGGGAGATTGGGGATTGAGGATGGGGAGGTGTAGTAATCAGTGATCTTCTGAGGTGAGTCTGAGGATATTGCTGATGGACTAGATCTGAGAGGCGAGTCTGGGGACAATGCCAAGGTTTCTGACCTGAGCATCTAGAACAAAAGCAGCCATTAACTCGGATGCCTGTGGAGTAGTTTTAGGGCATGGTAAGCTGTCACACCAAACTGACATACCCAAATGCAGTGGTAAAGGAGAGGGCTGATGTGTTGGGGAGGTCCTTTTCCAGGGACAGGTAAGTCTTGGGAATGTCTTATTATCCTTTTGTCTTAATTTTTGCCTCTGGCCTCAGGCAAGTCCCTGACCTTGGGTCTAAGTGTGGCTTCTAAGGCTTTACTCCAAGGAGAGTTCTACCTACTTATTTATTAACTATTTCTTGTACTGTTTGGTGGTACATGTTATGCAGGCCTAGAATCTAAAGATAACACAAAAATCAGAAATCTGAATTTATCAAAAATGACCCTTGACCAGTTCCTAAATCCCATGAAGTGTGAGACATGATTTGCATATACACTCTATAAAGAAATACCTAAGTATTCAAGTAAAATGAATGCAGTAGTGAACAGGGGGTATAATTTCATAGAGGATCCTATTTAGTGTTCTCACTGTGTGAACTTTTCATCAACTTGAGATTGTATCTCACAGCTTCTTTCTATTTGCCATTATTTTGACTCGAATTTTTCCTTATTCATTGTTTTCTATCTGCAGCCTCAATTAGTTATTTTTTTTAAAGATTTTTAATTATTTAATTTACTTTTAGAGAAAGGGGAAGACTGAGAAAGAGAGGGAGAGAAACATCGATTGGTTGCCTATTTTACTCCCCCAACCGGGGACCTGGCTGGGAACTGAACCCATGACCTCTCAGTGCACAGATCGGCAGTCCACTGAGCCACATCAGCCAGGGCTCAATGAATTCTTAAGTGGGGAGGGACCTCTGCCTGGTCACCCCAAACCATGGCTTTCTCTGGTCAGTGGTCAGGAAAGCCTTCTTCATTCATGGGCTCTTTCCATAGGTACCTCCCAAAGTAGCTGATCTCTCAGGCTTTCTTGTTTCAGTTGTTCTGCAGCTCAGTAAGGGCCTGGTAACAGCTCATCCAACTAGAAGGCCACCTCTCTCTTTCATATGTATGTGAATCTTATAGAGTTGAGTCCTTTCATCTTCTAAGTTGAATGTGAGAGCAGTTTAAAAGATGCACTTTTTCTCCATAGGAACCTTTCCAATACAGGGACCTGTATTAGTCAATACAGGGGACCTGAAAAGACTAGACAACTCTATATGATAGGGCCAATGCAATAATGATGGCCACAGTGGGCATCAGTTATGTGCTGGGCAGTTGAGGTCATCATCATTTGTCCTGACAATCTGCAGGCAATCTGGTTCTGGTTTGTATTTTATCAGTGGAGGAACAGAGCTTGGTTAACTTCTCTAAGTTAACTCCTGGGTCTTGAATTCTGCTCTTAATGCTCCAGTAATTCATGGAGCCCTCAATGATAGAACACTATTCTTAGGTCTTGTCTGGGTTTTTAAGTTCTTGCTGGCAGAGATGCTAGCATTTTTAGGTGGGCACCAGGTGGTCTGCTGGCACTTCTTGTGTTCACTGAAGTCCTTTAATCACAGCACCTCTGTGGAG